ACGCCCCACACGGCTGAATTCAAAAGTCGCCGTGCCCGTTCAAGCACGCATCCATGCGCAGTGTGAGTGTTTACACATACACGCGTGCCGAACCACTGAAAAAGGCAGATTAACCCTGAAACGGCTCATCTGCTAGTGTACCCTGACATCGCATCCATGGTAATCATAGCGAATGCGACATCGAAGGCCATCCCTTCCATCATGCTGACGCCATCCATGCCGTGGAATGCAGCGTACACCGCTGGCTCCCGCGGATGGCCATGCCATTGCCGCCATCTTATTGGCCTCCATCTCGAACTGGTGGAGCCAGTGGTCCTTGATGGGGACGTCGTATGTGTCGTTGATTTCGCGCTCCATCATAGCCATCATAATATTCGAGAAAACGGCATTGGAGCCGGAGACCCAGTGCTTGTTCGTGGTGCCACAAACGTTTTGTTCCGGATTCAGCTTGGCCGACATGTTCCTCATGTTGGGAAAGCAGCTCATCCAGCCGAAAGCATCATTGCGGAAAGCATCTTCAATGGCACACACCATGCTTTTGGCTTTGGCATCGGTTTCCAGGTCCTTTCTGTAAACCTAGATGAACTCGATCTCGCTCATGTTCGATTTCGTGGTGCACGGAATGGCACCGGCCTTATCCCACTTCGGGATGCTATCCATCAGCAGCAGCAGCAGCTCTTCCTCTGTCGAGAAGACCCGGACGACGGCCAAGTGCTCGTGTCCTGTGGGAATGGTGTCCTTCAAATGCCCCTGGTGATCGAACACGGCCACTCCGAGCATCACATGTTCGTCATCCAAATTATCGAACAGGTTCTTGCCGTAGGCGGCGTGGCGGATGTAAGCCGGGAACTCGAAGCTGGTGTTCAGAAGAGCGTCGGCGTAGTTGCCCAGCAGCATGAAATCCCAGTTGCAGGTTTGGCTGTTGCCCCACCGCAACTGCCCAAGCAGCTGCAAACTGGCGTACCACCTTCCGCTATGCGGCCATTGCGTGCGGTACTGGGGCCCTCAAGATACCCACTGCTGGGTCACTTGGGCCCTAATTATTATATATATATATATACATATATATACAGATAGATATATACAAGACTATGATATTCTACACATATATACGTATCCACACATATACACTTAAGAGCAGTCGGAGTGAGGTGGTCCGCTACCGCACCTGGGCAGAGACGGGCTACCAGCAGGTGGGCCTCGTCCGTTGTTGCCCCTGCAAGTTGCTTTGGGGCCCGTCCGTGGAGTTCTAGGGTTGGGGGTTTAGGGTTTAGGGTTTATCTGGTGTTTTATAGACTTTTTTGGTGGGATTGCGGTAGAGATTTTGCATGCTGCCCCATCCCAGGGTCTTTGGAATTTCAGCCAATGTTTGTCTGGGATGGTTTTAGCCGGGTTATTTCGTTGTTGCATGGGTTCCGCGATGCAGCTGGGTTTCGGGTTTGCGCATGAGGTTTTTGGGGACTTCGGGGGCCCAGGGAAAGGTTTAGGGTCATGAGGTTTAGTTTCTGTTGGGGTTTGATATGATGGGCCAGTGTTCCGGCTTCAGGCAAGCGGACCTAAAGGCGGACAGAAGTGATCTACAACCGAAGCAGATCCTCGGAAACAGGTCCCAGGCAGCATGACAACTTCGACCGCTCATACGATTCCACAGCTTTGCACGATGGATTCTACTGCCTGGTGTTGTTTCAGTCTCCTTGTATACTTCCTGCTGCACGGAGATATCAAAGTTTTTGATATCTCGGTGCTTGTCCAAAATAGGGTTTTTTTGAGGGGCTTTACCATAATGAACGGATCTTAAAGCGGTTCCTGATCGGGAAGCTAACTTCGATCAACCCCGTGAACCCAAGACTCCGAAAACCCAAAATCGCCCAACGCCTAAACTGAAGACTCCCCAAATGCCAGACCCGGCCGCCGTACATGACAAGTAGCCCGTACAGAGCGTTTTCTGGTGCTATCTTAGAACTGTATGTCACCTTTAAACCCTACCTATAGTCTCCATTGTAGTTCCTTTTGGAGGTTACCTTTTGGACCCTTACTATAAAATTGGTTAAACCAAAAAGGGAACTACAATGGAGACTATAGGTAAGTCCAAACGCCCTGACGGATGGTCCAGGCGATCATGAAGAAGATGCAGGCCATGTCCGGCAGCACCGCTCGAGACCCAGAGGAGGGTTTCATGGGGTTAAGGTTTAGGGTTTAGGGTTTTAATAGAGGGGTCTTAATGATTACCCATACTATTTTTTTGGGGGGGGGTTCCGTGTTATAAGTATAGTATGGGGCCCCCCAACCCTATTCCAATTATTAAGGTCCCTTTGGTTTGGTTTAGAGGTTGGCGGGTTTAGGATGTTGCACTTAGGGTTTGGGTGTAGGACTTTGGGGTTTAGAGTCTTGGTCCTTGTCATAGACTCTCATGAGAATACTGAAGTTCTAAACAACAAGAACCTCAGCAACAGCTGTTTGGGAAGCTTGGGCTGTTGAGGTGCATACAGGTTCAGGGTTCGGGGGTTTGCCTGTTTACAGTTCAGACCTTTGGGGTTTGGGGCTAAGCACTGAGTTATGCACTTTCAAACTTTTGGTTCAGGATTCAGGGTTGCTGGATTTGGGGGCTTGGAGAAAATCTGCAAGGTTGTGGATGTTTGATTCTACCTAAATCACGCGTAGGACCAGAGAAACGAAGCCCCGTAGCGGCAAGGGCATGCGCAGAAAAGGGCGTGCGCAGAACCCAGGTCACTACCGCCAGACTACAGAAAAAATCTCCCAAGCACCTGAACCATAAACCGATTATCAGATCTGTGAGGGGCCCACCTGATGTGGGATCCCCACTGCTAGCAGAGCCATCCTCGAGCCCTAAACACCACTGCTCCTCGACTGAGAAAGTCTCAACGAGTCGTTGAGACGTTTCCTGTTTTTCGGGCCCTGAGCATATCTAAAGCCCAAATCACTAAACCCCAAAGCCCCAAAGCCTAAACCCCAAAAGCCCCAAGCCCTAAAACTCCTTCTTAAGCTGTCAGACCTCAACCCTGAACCCTTCTCATCCCTAAAACCTCACGCCCCAAGGCGGACGAGAAGCCTCCACCACCTCCAGCCGGCTCTGTGCACGATGGCTGGCCAGAGTACTTTGGCGTAATCGAAACCTTGTTAAGGGCTTGGGGTTTAGAGTTAAGGGTTTTAGGGTTTAGGGCTTTTCCAGGGGAGTTTAGGGATTGGCGTTCAGGGTATTAAGGTTTAGGGTATCCAGGTGGCGTTTAGGGCTCAGGCCGTAGGGTTTTTGACTTGTAGGGTTCTAGAGTTAAAAGGAGTCCAAGGTTGAGATTTTGAGAGGAGGGGGGGGGGGCTAAAACTCCCGTGGCTCAGCCATGACCCGCAACCCTTTGATCCTGTTTTGTGCCTGCCAAGGCCAGCCCACTACGACAAGCACGGCATGGAAAGGCCGGGGCTAGAATCGGGATGTAGGGTTTCGGGCTCAATTCTCAGGCTTCAAGGTAGCATCCAGCACAGCACAAGATGCTGTGACTAGCCTTTCTGTTGCGCATATGTTGCGCACCCTAATCATGCACCCTGGTTGCTGATGCCGTTGACCGTATGTTGGACTGTAACTCTATGGTGGGTCAAGGCTATTTGTCCTGGAAGGTACCGGGTCGCTTTCCTGGCCGAGAATCAGCTCTGGCTGCAGGCAGACTTGTGATTTGTTTTGCACAGTCACCTCCATCGAATCCCGCACAAGGAGCAAAGGTATCAGGCTACTTCACAAAGTCAGAACGTTTCGGGTGCAGGGGTACGCCTAGACCGACATGTGGCGAGACTTCTGGTTTGGGATATCAGTTCATGTGGTGGCTCGTGACAGACCGCACTGCCGGATGGGAAACATCGTTAGGCTCCTAGGGGACCCTGGCCAGAAATACACACCCCTGCAGAAAGAAAGAAATCTGCTTGTATTCCGCTTTGGCATTAGGGCATCTTTCTAGCGAGCTCTTCGATACTTGACACCGGAGCCAAGGTTCTTTAGTACTTCAGGCGCCCGACTATGACTAGACTTCTGCTGTGCATGTGATACAGGTACTGTGCACATGACAGTGCCCAGAATCCTCATGTCATGACGTGGTGGTAAGAAGGAAGGTTAAGCCCTGGTAAACTTGGTCAGTTCCCTGTGATCACGAACTGGCTTTGTGAGGTCGCCGTGTCTGAGATGATGGACAAGAGGACCTTGGAAAAGCCACGCCCTCGAATCTTCCCACCTGTGGAATTCGGCACTCTTTGGAGCATGATAAACGCCCAGTCGTGGTGTGAGCATGGGTATACCAGCGTCGCCGATCCACAACTTGAGGATGATGGGGTTTAGGGGTTAGGGTTAAGAGTTTAGGGTTTAGGGTTTAGGGTTTAGTTGGGAACGACAACTCCCATTGTTAATCCCGGCAGAGTTTCACGGAATGTCCTGGCATGTCAGACTTCTCCGCCTGTTCTGCAACATCGTCAGTTTGGGGGCTCCTAGCCTTCACGTGCCAAGAATTTCGTACACCATAGCTGCTATAGCTTAAAAGAAGCCCATGTCGGTATCTATAAACCCTTAAACCCGGAACCTACTCTACCAACACAGCCATAAACTCGAGGCCTCTAAGCCTAAATCCTAAGCCCCTGAACCCTAAACCCCAAGCTTTCTTCAGGCACCGCCAAGATCTTCTGGATGGCTTAGCCTCCATTGTCAACGAGGCCCGTGCACCACTCTCGGAGGTTGCCAAGAATCGAAGGCCTTAAACGGCCTCCCTAAAGCTGGAAACCTTAATCAATACACTGGCCATACTTAAAACTGCGCTCCACCTAAAACGGTACCAGACCCGATCTCGAAAATCCTGCCCACAACGCAGAGATCGAAAAGGAAGCTCTACCCGAAAGACTGGAAAGCAGTTACAAGCCGACAAGGGCACCAGCAAAAGCAGAAATTTGATAAACGTGCGAGGCTCTTCGTCCAGATAGGGCTTGCAGGTAGCTTTGCATGCATGTTGGTCGGGTAAAGTTCCCCTTTCCTCCACAGGGCTACACGCGGCAGGGAGCTTGCGATCCTTGCCCGATGGGCAGGTCGCTCCGAAGGATTACGCGGCGGAAGGTACTGAGGCGGTCGAGAAGGACTCCTGCTAACCTGGCGGGCAAGAGAGAAAGAGAGAGCTAGCTGTCCAGCTGGGGGATTTGACCGTCCCCCATGCCCAAGAGAGAGAGAGAGAGAGAGAGAGAGAGAGAGAGAGAGGGAGAGAGGGAGAGAGAGCTAGCTGTTTCTTAGTTGCCATGCACTTCCTCGTCAAGCTTCGCTCCTGACCTATATAAAGCGTGCGCACCAGTTCGGCCCAATGCCCGACAAAATAGACAGGTTCCTAAGAAAGGTCGAATAAAGCAGGTCGAGTGACATGAAGTTCTTGCGCCAGCAAGAAGTGTGGTTGGCAGGATATTGACACACATACCCACGCTCATGAGTAAACACATACATGTACATGTCCGTGTACGGATGCATGCATGCCAGCATGTATGTATGTATGTATGTATGTATGTATGTATGCATATATGTACAATCTTGTCCGAATGTATGTGTGTATATATGCGTGTGGAAGTACATGCATATGTGTATATACATATATACAAAGAGCCCAGATAGAGTTACACATTATGTTTCCGAATATATGGATAAATATCCTCGTATATGTATATATATATATATATACATGTGCATGCATGCATGTATGAATGTATGTAAATTGATATGCCAGTATATAACAGGTTCTATATTGTATATGTCACGTACTAACATGTCTGCACACATCACACGCACACCATCTGTCTATATACCTATACTGACAGGAGATGTTCCAGTTCGGCGCCCCTCCTTCGATGGACCTGGCAAGAGCAGCTTCCGAGGTCCTGGCGTCGCTACGATTGGCACTATCATTAGTGCTACTCTATTCTGATTCTAAGGGTATGATGAAAAGCTATCATTCTGGCAATTCTAATAAGATTATGACTATGGTGTATGGTTATGATTGCTACTATATTCTAAAGATATGATGAGTAACTAACAGTCATACCGTTCTAACGAGATTGTGATGCGTACCTCTCAGTATGGCAGTTACGGCTCAGAATGTTGTCATTAACTGTTACGATCAGTCCTACGACGAGGATGATTTCCAGCTAGGAAGTTTTGGAAAGCTTTCATATATATATATATATATACACACAATGAGAAAGACCATCTGCGCCTCCGTATGTTACTTTATTTGGCTGGCTTATGCTGGTTTGTCACGCATTCCCTGTATCTAACGCCCTGCTCCCTCTTGCACAATACAGATAGACAGAGAGACAGACACATATCTCCCTATTTATGTACAAACGTACGTATGTCGATATACATGCATGTATGCTGACGCAGTGTGTCTGTGGATGTAGCTGGACAGCTCACCTTTGTGGCCAGATCCAGCGGGAGACGTATGAGAATTCTGCTCTCCGTCAGCTCATGAGGCCAGGTCCAAGAATTATTTGCGGTCTAGGGGTTTAGGGTTTTTAAGTTTCAGGCTGGGGGTTTAGAGTGAGGATTTGCTGTCTCATTCACCGAGGGGGTTGGATGTGTTGATCCCTGCAGCTCTTGATGCTCCCTCCCTACTGAACCGTGTGCTATCTGCCCACCAAGCATTGCCGATGCGGGGCATAGCCAGGATGTGGCGAGAGCGTGCCCAGTTCATGCTCTTCCTGCAGCAAGTATCGGCGATGGCCACGGCCTCGGCCACTTTCGACAATTTTGGTGCTTGACATTTCTTAAACCATAGCTGAACAGCCATCCAAGCTACTACCTTCACGGACGAAGGTCAAGTTGGACAACTACCAGCGCCGTGATGCTTGCGAGATTTGCGGAAAGGGCAAAGACGAGCTACCAGTGGTTGTGCTGCCCATCTACACTCTCCTGCTCGGACCCTGGCTGGGTCGGACGGGTGCACTGAAACCATACTTAGCAGGTTTAGGCTTCGCCTAAATGGGAGTCGGAGCAGTCGACGGCTGAGGCATTTGGCTTCTCTTTACCGAGAACAGAGAGATATGCCGGATCCCCATGGCACTGTGTCGAGCGTGTTCTTGATTGCCTTGTTCGTCTCTAGAGGTCGCCGTTATGGAATACCCCGCTATGGAAGCACTTCTACCAGACCTTTACTCCAACTTGCACGCTGTGCGAGGACAGCGTGAGCAAGTCAGAAATCTTTGAACAGCGTCGTCCCTGAGTCGTCACTGTCGTGATCAGGAGTGCGCCAAGTATTACCACAAGCGTAACACCAACATCCCGGTCAACGAGAAGCGCTACCAGCGTCTGCAGGCTGACGGGGGGTCGGGGGGCAGCGGCTCAGAATTGGGTGAAGGGATGCTCGCCTATGATCATGAGATGGCGGCACGCAAGCCGATGCGATTGGCGCATTTCACTATTACGAGAGATGGCATAGCACGCAGTTGCGAACGGCTTCCACTTGTGCAGGCGAAGCAGAAGAGTGCTTACGAGAAAGTCAGGCTGGCAGTGGCGGCACTTCGTTTTGCTTAGGGGGGGGTTCTAATTTACGATGTCGGTTCTAGAGTTGAGCCTTGGAGAGAACCTCAAATGTGCTCCGAGCAATTTGTCGGGGCTCTTGCGTGCGGCTGGCAATAGCGACACTTTTCGCAAAGGACCCTTGAGGGCTCTCAGCATAGGGTGCGCAATCTTCTTCTTCTGGGCAAGCGCATGTGCTGTTGCAACATGTGGGTGCACGTTTGTGGATGTAGCGCACGCAATCTGAGCAACTTCGAATCATGCCGCCAAGTGATCAGGGTGAGCGATTACCCTGTGATTACCATGGAGCCAGAAATGAAGCAGGCGTTGGCCTTACAGAGACTTGGGTAGGGGCGAGAAGGACCTCAGATGGTGTCACTTCCGGAAACTTGGGCTCAGAATCAATATCGCATGCCTTTCGGTAGAAAGTCGAAATTGTATGCTTGGGTACAACACTCATGCATTGGACATCCGCACAGACCACATGTTCCTTCGAACGCTGAGGTTTTGAACCTCTGGCTCGAGTGGACAAGATGTATTGTCCGAGACGAGCGTCCACAAGATTTCCTTCCTCGCTTCGGTATCGAAGGAGACCCCCACCTGCGGTAGGTAGGGTCTGAGGCTAACTTCACGGGCTTCAGCAGGTAGCAACATTCTTCCTCTTTGCAAGCGCATTAAGTAGGCCGAACATGGTCCAGGCCCTGTTAAGCTTCCAGATGCCACATCCCAAAGTACTTCAGCCGCCCTCCAATCTCCTCACCATACATTAGGTCTGGAAGTCTGGATTGAGGCTAAACTTTCAACTTGCAGAGTTAATCGAAAGGTGCCCGAGTTGAAAGCCCTCATGTCCACGCAAGCAGGACGCACTATGCAGGAGATCAGGAAGGAGTTGTTGGACAAGGCCCAGAGTGCGTTTCGAGCATATTATCATTCCTTGGGGTTTCGTTGGTTTTTTACTGAAAAAATCCCCCCCCTTTTTTTTACGACCTCCATCTTCGGTGAGTGACTTGGGAGCCGTGGGCCTGGCAGAAACAAAGTATCAGAGTTTAGGGGTTTATGGGTTTTTTTAGGGGTTTAGGGTTAAAGGCGGGTTTAGGGTTTAGGGTTTTTTTAGGGGTTTGGGGTTAAGGGGGGTTTAGGATCAAGGGGTTTAGGGTTTAGGGTTACGGTTAAGGGGGGTTTAGGGTTTAGGGGTTTAGGGTTTCGGGAGGCAGCTTGCTAGGGGAATACAGTCGAGCACCTGATCCCATCCTTACCAGAGAGAGGTCTTTCAATAGATGTGTAACCAGTGGCCGTATCCTGCTGGCAGCTGCCAGCCCGAAAGGCTAAAGCCTAAGCCATAACCGGCAGATGAGCAGCTAAGTAGTGCCAGGGTACAACTCCCCATGAAACTCTTCTCAACTTATTCTTGCTGCTGTACTGTACCGGTAACGTAGCACTGTGAAAAGCTGCACGTTCGCAGCTACCTCTCATTCTTTGTTCGACTCATCAATTGAATTTCAAATCCGCATCCACCATAGCGAAGATCAGCGAGAGGCTGTTTGTGTTTCTCACAAGGCTCTGTCGGCTTGCTCAGCGGTCATGAACATGTCAATGCACATTTATGAACGAGTGGCGGCTAAATCAGTTCAATAAATCACTGCTACCACAGCCACAGTCCGAATGGTCCTTGGGGAAGGGTGAAGTCATGGATGGAGGCCATGTTAACAAAATCGAGGGTGCCTCGTGCCGTTGGCTGGATATTGCACAGGGGATTCATCCATGAGGCTTATATGTAGACCTACCAAGGCATCCAAGAAGCAGGAGGTATCAGCAGCCAACCTATGGTATGCCAAGACCACCACATAAGAAAAGATAATCCATTTCTTAAGTTGCCGAAAGCCATAAACCTCATAAGCCATGACCCCAAACCCTCAACATTCAATCCGAATCTCGACAGCCCCTCTGTGCATGAAGAAAGCGCGTGATGAAAGCAGGGCGGAGCCGACGACGTGCCCAGCTCCCGGCTTCGAACTTTCCTGCCCTGACTACCACTATACTACTGCTGCTGCTACCACTACCACCGCTACTACCACTGCTGCTGTTAATTCTGGTACTACTGTGCTACTCAAGCTTGCCATCGTGATGATTATACTTGCTTTGATTGCTACTGCTAGTTGCTAATTGCCAGTGTTTTCCTCATGCGTCTCGACTTGGACTGATTTGCATGTTTGTCGTTTGCATCTAACTTGCAGGACTCACGGCACTCTCCTTCCATGCCAACATGCTACTCCTGACACGTATATCGCGCAGCACTGAACGGAATTTCTGCTACCCTTCTATTGCCATTGTCCCTGCTGTTACAATCTTCTGAGAGGCTTGAAAAGCTTGCCCGCCCCAACCGCCGCTGACTCGCCAAGTAAAATCTGAAAGCCCCTAGCGGCCCTGGCCTACCACCCAACACCAAAGGGCCCAGCCCAAAGCCCCGAAGCAAGAATCCTTGCATCCCAAAGCCGAAGGCCCAGACTCCAAAAAACCTGCACCTCCCTTGAAGCAAACAGAGAGTATGCGGCACTCGAAGTACAGCGCAACGTGCATTGAAGACACGGACGCGACTCACTCGATCCTCGGCTTGGAGGAGAAAAAACTGTAGCCCCGAAGCCCGACAAGCCTAATGTAGGAACCTGATTAAGAAACCCTGGGCCTTTATTAGGGTTCTTAATATGAACTCTACTATATTTGGGGTTATAGGGCCAGGGTTTCTTAATCAGACTCCTACATTAGAGAAAAGGCAGTTTTGTTCATGTCTGCCAGCTCCCAGACTGAGGTCGCTGCCGTCAGTCTCGGACAAAGAGGACGAGGCGGAAACGACCGTCAACAACAGGGTTTTGGGTGTAAGATTTGCAGGTTTAGGGTCTGGGCTTCGGGGTTTGAGCACGAGGATTTAGGGTTTAGGGTTTAGCCTATTCTCCGGTTCTAAACCCTGTAGGACTCTGGGGGTACTCTACGGGCATCAGAAGGGCTATGAAGGTTACGATAAGGGTCTTCCAACGGCTACTCTAGGGTGAGTATACAGATTTGGGGATCGACCCCGACGTTCTTTGACGCGGAAGCTTACTTCCAGACAAATAGAGAACAAACCCTGAACCTACAATGTCTGATGCCCCAAAGACCCTGAACCCTTTCAATTTACATCCTCAAAGCCTAGACCCTGAAAGGCTTGTCAGATCAAACCACTTCAAACCCTGAACCCTAGACCCCGAACCGTAAAGCCTCGTGACCCCATGCCTGAAGCCCTCAAAATCTGAAACCACCATTGGACGATACCCGATACCCCAGGATCCAAAGAAATCTCTACCTGAATCCCCAAACCTCTGAGACCTCTAACACCTCAACCTTCAACCCAACCCCTAAACCCTAAAGCCTAAACCCCTAAACCCCTGAACCCAAACCTCCAAGACATCTTTGAGGGCTTTATGCCCTTGTACCCGCAGAGGACCCTTATGGTAACTCTTAAACTGCAACGCCCGTTGCATGCTGTGAGGCTGCAGCAGCTGATGATGATGGCATCAAGGCACCATTACGGCTTGTACGGTTCAGGCTTTGAGGTACTGCAGGCGTGCTGTTAGCCATGGCGGTGTTTCTGTGCTTGTTTCCATTATTCTCAAGGCTAAGTTTCCAGCAGGACCCTCGCAAGATCGACTTGGAAGCAGATGACGACATTGAACCGAAGATGCCTCTCAAGGTGGGAGCTTAGCTTTTGCAAGACCTTGGGGTTCCAGGATTTGTGATATGACACGCAGGACCAGCTGTTGCCTTGCTGGTTCGTGTGGAGAGACCCATGGCATATAATCCTAGGCTGAAACCTCTGAATCGCTCCGCTCACCTTGACTTACCTGTGATCTACATTCATGTGGTAGTCGTCAAGCCTAGAATCCTAAAGAAACGCATTGCCGTCACACAGACCTTTCACGTGTCAGTGGGAGAAGCACAGCATGCTTTGGACTGTGCATGTGATCGGTCAAACCCAGAACTCCGACGCACTACCGAGCAGCCGATCAAGCGGTCAAGGAACGTGGACATCCAAATGCAGGTTCTGGTACATGCATGAAGGTATATACATAAGGACAATACATGCATGCATACATACATATTTGTGTGCGTGTGTGTTTGTGTGCTTGTCAACGTTCAACATTGGTGGTGTTGAAGTGCGCTTATACGATGAAATGAGATACACAGACAACCAGGCAGGAAGGTAGAGAGATACTGTAGCGAAGGGATAGAGATCACCAAGCTGCCATAAAGTGTTCGGATGGCCTGTATGACTATGTGCTTGTTTGTCAACTAGCTTTTCATAGCTTGACCTGTGATTCGTTTATGTTCGCTTGTTTATTGTCGAGGTTCCTCATTTATGTGTTCATTCGTTTAGCTATGTACTTGCGTATCTATGTATTCACGTATTGGTTTCTTCGTGCTGTGAGCCATGTTTGCATGGACGTATGTCGGTATGTACGTACGTATGCATGTTCATTCATGTAGCTAGTGGTTGGTCAGCTTTATTTTGCAGTACTTAGTTAGCTAGCTAGTTAGTTGATGAGTCAGGCTTGTATTGGTCAGAAAGCTAGTTATGTAGCTAGCACATTAGCTTGCTCATGAGCTAGCCAGTTTGTTATGTTGTCACTTAGCTACGAGCTAGATAGTTAGTTAGTTAGTTAGCTAGCAATCTCGTTTCTTAGTTAGTTAGTTAGTTAGTTAGTTAGTTAGTTAGTTAGATAGTTGGTCAGTCAGCCAGCGAGCTACCTGGCTAACTAAATGGCTACAGTACGTGGCAGTTAGTTACTTAGGTAGTGAATTGGCCAGCTGGCTAACTAGATGGATGGTTGTTGAGTTAGTTAAATGTGCGTCCCTTTTGCCTACCAGGATAAGCGGTTACTTAGGTGTGCAAACAGGAATAAGATAGGAACATATAGAACAGCGACAAAGGTAGGTGAAGCAATAGCAACAGCAGTATCCGTCGTGAGAATGATGCTGCTCCTTAAGAGTGGTAGGACATCACAAAAACACCCAAACACCTATACAAAGCCCGACTTGGCGTCTTTGTGGTAGCCTCAACACCGATCGAACACTCTAGAACTCCGGAGGTGCCTAAATCCCTCACCTGGTCGGAAGAGTCGATCATGCGGTCCTGGCTCCACCGCGCCCGAGACAGCCTCCAGGACGGCGGTGGGGCGAATAGGTTCGGCTCGTCCAGTTTTTTGTGTTTGAGGGTTTCATCTTTTGCCTTAGATGTTGAGTGCTAAGGTCTCGGGGGTTGTGGTCTGAGGTCTTCGGAGTGAGGGTTCGAGATTTGTTTAGGATGCCAGGGTCACGATTCAGTTGCTGATTGCACGTTGCCAAGGCGCCCCAGACAGTCAATTGGATGTATCCTATGGAAGCCGGGTCTGTGCCCAAGTGCTCTCTGCCAGCGGGGCATGGCCAGAAAATGCAGATGCTTCAGCTGCTGGTGCTGGCTGTTTCGTTCGTGACACGGCGCATAGAGTCGGCAGACAGTCCTGCTTTCATCGTTATACAAAGGCCTTCCTCGTCATCACAGAACGATGCCCAGGAGTCAAGGCACGGAAACCGAGAGCTCACTCAAGTCAAGGTGTGTTCAGGATACTGAACGGAGTTAGGACGTAGCAGTGGTAGTAGGAAGACTACCACTACTACCGCTGCTGCCTCTACTACTACGACTACGACTACGACGCCGACTAACACTAATTGCTACTACGACTACTACGACGACGACTACTCCTAAGCACTCGTGCTTTTGCTTGTGCAGCTGCCTGCTGCTGCTGCATCTGCTGCAAACTGCTTTCTGCAACTACGACAACGACGAGGACAACCACGACGACCGCGACTGCTACGCTGCTGCAAGCTTCCTGCTAAGTGCTACTGGTGCTGCGGCTTCTCCTGCTACTCCTAGAACTACTACTGCCAGTAGAACGGAGCAGCAGAAGTGGAGGTACCAGCGCGCGCTTGATGGACGGCACAGTCCATACCAGGTAGTAGCGCTGGTATAGTACTCACAAATTCAAGAGCATTAACAGTACTCTGAACAGTCATATGGGTAGTTTTCTAAATTAGGGCTCCTCTTTATAAGGGTGCCGTACTATATTGGGGACCTGAAAAGGGACCCTAATTTAGAGAACTACCTATATGCCAGGCCAGAGGCGACGAAATCAGGCGTCCGATTCGCTGCAACCACGGATGAAGACGAGGACCGGCCTTCCCGCTGCTGCGACATCGGCCATGATACTCTTCATGATCATGACGGTGATGGTGGTGATGGTGATGGTGAAGATGTTCATGACGAATGTGAATGAACGAGAGCTCATAATGTTTATTCTGGGTGAGGGGTGCAGGGATAATCATCTTGATGTTTCGGTTTGAAGTGGTAACTACGAGAGATTCGATGGATGACATTTATCCTACATGTTTGATTTCACATTTGGTTTCATCTGGCGTTTCTGTGCGTTCGCCCCGTTCATTTCCTTCCAGAAAACGTCCGGTCCGCGGCGCATGGCAGGACTAGCCTCAGTGAGCAGGCACCGCTTCTCGTCACGTTCGTACTTGTCTTGCCTAAGCTGCAAGAGCACCTGAAAATGCAAACTCTTCAGTCACCTCACACCTCAGCTCACTGTGACATCTAGATTTCGATCGATATTTGGCTCGTGCAATGCACTTGGGCTCACGGAGTCACCCTGGCCACCTAAGGTTGCCACGGACGTGATCCCAAGAGCGCAGTAAGGCAGTAAGGAAACTCCAGTGTGGACTACAGCTAGCCTGTGTTTTGAAGTGTGAGCTGTCTGGAGGATGGATGTACATGAGTTCTTCAAGTCAGTGAGGAGAGTCTCTCTTCGGCACGCATTTCGCCACGATTTTTCGTCGCAGCATGTTGCAAGAGGAGGCATCCAAAACCGCTCTGCTGGGAGCTACACTTCTCCGCCGCACAACATAATCAGACTATGACCGTAACGGTTCGTGATGTCTCAATGGAACTGAAGTTAAGTTCTTGTCCTTGCCAGCGGTGTCCGCACTTCAAGCGTAGCAGGGTTTAACTTGACTGTAGGGTTTAGGACTTCCGAAGGAGACAAGTTCAGTGTTACGCTTTTGTGGACCTCCACAGCAAGTGCCACATGCGCTGTCTTCAAGTCGGTTTCGCCGCAGCATCTTTCAGGAAGTTTCACCCATTCAGACAGCGCCTCGCTGTGCACGGTAGACAGAAATTCCAGCAGTACACACCTCAAAACGCAACAGTGGCGAGGACATTAGCGATAGCCTTGACCCACGGCCTTGTAGAACAGCTTCCTGCAAACATTGGGCATGTTGCTTGACTCGGGGCCTTTGCAGTTGATAAAGTACACCCTAATACGCGCGTGTCTACCGCCATAACATGCCCAAACGTCCTACAAATTGCGAAAGGAGACATGAGAGATATCCTACCAAATGCATGCACCACAAAGATACCAAACAGTAGCAGGCGTCTTAAGGCTTTTTCCGAAACGAACACCTTTTTCGGAACCACCCCCCCCCCCATATCTGAGCACGAAGATGTCCATGATGGCCACGATCTCATCTCCTCCTGCCGCCTGGAAAGACGTCAAGGCCAGGCCGAAGACGGAAAAGCACCAAAAAGGGCCCAATCCGTAGCATCCCAGAGCAACATCTTCAAAGTCTTACCTCCTACGCTACCTACTCGTAGAGAGTGTCGATTCCAGGGTGTTGGGCCCTGCTTGGGTTTGGGGTTTGGGTGTTAAGGGTTCAGGGTCGAAGGTTTAGGGTTTAGGGTTCAGGGTTCAGGGTTTAGGGCCTTTAGGGTTTGAGGGTGAGGTCGATAGTCCTGAGCCAGGTAGGTTTGTCCGACACCTGCACAAAACCCCGAAACCCCCCAAGGCCTAAACCCCGAGTCCTTAGCCTTACCCTCCGAACTTATTCAGGGCTAGCTGCGACACCCTTCGCCCTGAACCCTTGAACCCCAAACCTTGAACTCTAAACCAACACCTCTCGTAACTCTCGAAACGCTCGCCCCTACGCCCTACGCCGCACACTCCACCCGCAGCTCACAGCATTCAAGCGATAGCACCGGTGGAGCAGAGGTGGGAGTTTCCGAAAACTAGGGTACCTTATTTTGGGGTTCTTATAATAAGGATCCCATTATTTAGGGTACTATATTAGGGTCCCCTATTTTCGGAAACCCCCAGGTGTTCCAAGATAAAGCGGCCTCTCGCCATGGTCCTGAGCCCCCTCGGGCTCCATCTGTGTGCGCGGAGTCCCCCCCGGGACCATCCCGGCGTATGGCTCGGTCTTTTCAGTGCGATGGTCCCGTGATGCAGTGACCTTGGTCTCCGGCTCCGTCGACGCGGTGGTTCGTTTGTGGGATGCCGCCGCAGGCACCTGCTTAAAGAACCTCACCGGCCTCAACGACGCGCTGAACTCCGCGGCCGACAGCCCGGATGTGCCCACATCGTCTCAGGAAGTAGGGACCACACCATCAAGGTGTGAGATGCCGCCACCGGCACCTGCTTGCGGACTCTCATCGACAACGCACAAAACGGCAACGTGTACTCAGTGGCCTACAGCCCGAATGGCACCATCCGGGCTGTAGGCCACTGAGAGCACATCATTGTCATGGCCGTTGAGCCACCGCAAGCAGGTGCCTGTGGCGGCATCCCACACTTTGATTGATTGCATCGTCTCAGGAAGTAGGGACCACACCATCAAGGTGTGGGATGCCGCCACAGGCACCTGCCCACCCACTGCAATTTCGTGAACTCCGTGCCTTACAGCCCGGATGGTGCCCACATCGTGTCAGGAAGTTCTGACCACACGACAAGGTGAGGGATGCCGCCACAGGCGCCTGCTTGCGGACGCTCACCGGCCACACCCATGAGGTGCGGCCGTGGCATGCGGCCCGGATGCTGCCCATATCGTCTCAGGAAGTTATGACGAAACCGTCAAAATTTGGGACGTGCCGGCAAAGATTCTTCAGACCTTCGTGCGTGGAGCGGCGAGGAACCCTCATGGCGCTTGGGAGTCGAGGGCTACAAAGTAGGGCTCCAGGCCCCAGGGCTTCGGGTTTAGGGCCATTTGTTTTGATGTGCGCTCGGGCTCCGGGTACCTTTGTGGGTCATGTCATATGGTCAGCAGCCTAGTATTGCAGACCAGAAGCGTCGGGTGCTGAAAACAAGCCTGGACCGTCGAGTTTGGCTCTCAGGGCGATACGCACGTGGGGATGGAGTTTAGGTCCAGCGGGTTTTGTCTGCAGGGAGGGTGTAGGAGTTACTAGGACTAGAGTCGCGTGTGTTTGAGCCCATATCTGCATGACTCAATGACGTCCACCCCCTCAAGTATCAAGTGACTGCGTTGAAGCCCTGCAGCCTAAAACCGACTCCAAGCGCTCAACCCGAAGCTCGAAACCTTATATGGCCCTTTAGCCCTGGACCCCACCGCCTTCCAGCCAAAGAAGCCCTAGAAATAGATCATGATCATCCTCTTGCCCTAAACCCTAAACCCTAAACCCTAAACCGATGACCATAATGACCTCTGTCTGTGAAAGAGGTCAGGACCGGTCCATCGACCTTTGGGTCCGTGCCAGCTTCGGAGATTGCTCCGCAGTGCCCGGTGCAGCAAGACCAGGCCACAACCGAGTCGGATAGAGGCATGATGAAAGTTAGCAGTCCCGTAGTTGGAGATCCCGATTATGAGACAAAGTCGTGATCTTTCTATTTGGGCGGTTGTCAAAATTATGGTCCCTTTTTGGGTCCTTATTATAATACGGCACCTATTATTTAGGGTACCCCAAAAGGGACCATAATTTTGACAACTACCCATTTGGGATCCAGATCTAGAGCTTGTTCGGATATGGGCGGTTTGGGGTTCACGTTGTAGCCTGGAGCAAGTTGGGCTCATAAACATGATTGAAGATCAATCTTAAGCTGCCACAACCTACTTTACCGTGGAGCCACCACCATAGAAGCCACAATATCGAGTTTATGTAAGCCCTATAGCAAAGTAGGTGTTGGTAAATCAAGGACGAGCTAATCAAGCTGTATTCTTATACCTTTCACGACAGCAGATACATCTCCGACCTGCAGAACTGTTGTAGCACTGGCTCCAAAGAATGTTGGCTGTGAGTTTGCTAACCGATTCCGGCTACCGTGGCGAATCCTCAACTTTTGACCATGAGATCAACCCTTTTTTCAGTTATCCTTGAAACTCACACTGTTGAACGTAACTGGCCTTCAGGGTAGATGCTGGCGACTCCTTGGCAGCATGCTGGTGAGTGCCGCTGTATGCACGAAGGCAGGTTGGCAGTGCAAAGTATTCGGGGAGACAGGGCGTGGTGATTCTCCGTGGAACCTTGATCCTGAGAATCCTGGTAGCTATCTTTGAGACCCGAGTTCCACTTGAGCACGCATGTTTCTGGAAGCCACGTGCAAATTCAGAAGCTCGCAAGGCAACGCGGGCACAGCGAGTTCGACGACTCTGCAATCCTGTGCAGACGATGCGCGAGCAGGACCGTCCAGCAGTAGTACGTCGCAGTAGGTGTTGGTGTTGTTGTTGTTGTTGTTGTTGTTGTTGTTGTTGTTGCTATTGCTGTTGCCGCTGCTGGTTTCAGTAAAACAAATCGTCGTCGTCATCGTCGCACTGCTACCACCACTACTCATTTGCTCCTCCTCGTCCTCTCCCTCCTCCTCCTGCGGCTGCAGTTTTCAAGCTCGCTTCTAAATTGAAGATGACGCGACAGGCAGAGCTACTGGTCAGTGACCGCAAAGCTTTGCGGATTGGGAACGGCGATCTCGAGTCTCTGATCTCAGAGGCCCGGATGAGAGCGTAAGATAGATGTTGAAGCTGGCTATCGTAGCCGTAGATGGGTGCGCATCACGCGCCTGATTTCCGTGTCGGGCTTGAGGGTACGAACTGTCGGGAGCAGACTTCCCCAGCTGGATCTTCGAATGTCGGTGAACTCTGCAAAACGAATCACGCAGGACTGCATACTTCTACTTGCGCTGCAGCTGTCATCATGCCGGGTCGAATCTATCCTAGGTAGGTTTTTGGGACATTTTGTAGTTTCCTTCTTTGGATTTATAAGGGGCCCTTTATATAAATATTTTTCAGAGGCTTTAAAGGCCAACCCAGTATCCAGTATGGACATTCGAAGCCGACACATTTATTTGACTTGCGAGGAGGAGCGCGAGACGATGACTCAGAAGGCTGACACACTCCAACCCTACAGGCCGAACTCGGAGGGCTTCGAGGGATCAGAGCTCCATTCCCTACCACTTCTGTGAGAAAAAGATCCCATTCTGCAGAAAGCGATCGTTGTGAGTTATAGAGTTATAGGCATTCCTGCAAAGTGACGTGCCGCCCCACGGTTCAGATTTCCTAAGCTTTCCCTTGAGGCAGTATGTCCTCTTCGCTGCCTTCGGATTACTCCTGGGGGCTGGAAACGATTTGCCCCCGTCTCAGCTCTGAGATGCTTGAGTTTACATGGGAGTTTCCGAAAATAGGGGGTACTAATATAGTACCCTAAATAACAGGGTCCCTATTATAAGGACCCCAAAATAAGGTACCCCGTATTTTCGGAAAGTCCCACATCACAGCTGCATTGAACACGAACGTTCGGTTCTCTGCAGCCTCGGAAACCTTTGCAACAGGTTTTGGCTGGTGTTCCAGCCCTCTTTCTTCACGAAGGGCTTCCTTCCATCAGGGAGCACAGACGATTCGCAGTTTGCGCGGCTGCTGGTGATCTTGGGATTGGCGGCGGTGGGTGCAGGACCGGGAACCAGTCAACGAAAAAATAAAGACCGCACAGCCCTGTTCTCGCACCCACGCCCTACAAAAAACCTAAACCCTAAACCCTAAACCCTAAACCCTAACCCTTATCAGGCGAAGGAAAAGAGGTGATAAAAAAAAACTAAACCCTAAAACCTAAAAAACTAAAAAAACAAGATGGCTAAGCCAGAAGCCCCGAGTCGATCTCTTCAATCCGGAAGCGTGGGGACCATCTTAGCCCAGCCCCTTGGCCTTCAGCCCACCCAAGGCACAGAAACCTAAAACCCAATGCCCAAAACCTAAACTCCAAGCCGCAGGCCTTGGACTTAGCCCCGAAAACCCCAAAGCCAAGCTCAGCACTCCAACTCCCAAACCCTACATCCCAACCCCAAACTCCACCCAACCCCTCCAGGCCTGTACTACGTGGGGAACGTGGTCCTCGCGCCTGCCGAGTTGCCTTCCGTTGAGGCCGTCATCAGCGAGGAGGAGTCTGGAGATTCCGTAGAAGAGGCCCTCGGTGGAGGGTGTAGGGTTTAGGGGTCTGCATATTTTGAGGAGCACCAGTATTCTAACGGCAGGTAATACCATTGGTATTAGTATTGTTGTTACCGTCATTATGTATTCCATTTTATTTGTCTGCGCAGCACTGTTGCTATAATTGTTGTTACTCCTATTGATGTTAATATTCTTGAACCAACTATGACGTTTGCTTGTTATTATTGTCATTATTGCTAGTGTTGTTTGTCATTATTCTTGTTGGTGCTTCTCGTGCCATTTTTACGATGACCGTCTAAGCCCGTTTCTGGAGTGTGGTGTTTCCGGCCCTGAACCCGTCCTGAACACTAAAAAAACCCTAAAGCCTAAGCCCTAAACCCTAAACCCTATGTAAGCCCTCTATCTCCTTATGCCTTGACCATGTTGGAGCTCAGGGGTGAAAGCTTACGCGTTCCGGTAGGCCATTGATAACGGCAAGACTTCGGCTTTGAGTTGGGGTGGTTTTTGGAGTTTCGGGGCCGATACACTGGTGACAACAGAGAGATAGTCAGGGACTCGTTGCAGGCTTTTGTTGGTTGAAGGTGTCCTCTTGTAAAGCATAGCTTAACACCCTAACACGAGATTCTTTCGGGAATCCCACCAGCTCAAACTCCAGCCATTGCGGGAGGTGGAGGAGAGTCGGATGTTCTACCGACTGCAGGGCAGGCAGCTGTGTGGCAGCTATGTTCGAAGTCCTGTAACACTTTGAAAGACTGCGGTCAGAAATCGAGCTGTCCATATAAAGTTACGGCGGATGCCAGTGGGTGTGGTTGTGACCCTTTCTTGCTCCGACAAGATTCCCTAGCTGGTTCACTGAGGTGGTACTACGGGCTGAACCTCGGTCAGAGCTACTCGATCTCGAAGTGCCGCGACGGACGCTGGAAGTTCGAGGAGGAGCTCGCTGGCAGGAGGTGCACATCGACCCTGAGAGTTGTAGGGGCCCCCAGGTTGCTATTGAAGTCATGTCTCCTTTCAGTGAATCGTATACATTCGCAAGAAAGAGCTACAAACAGTTTTTTACACAAAAGGGCCTCCGAGAAGAATCTTAAACCCTAAACCCCTTAGCCCTAAACCCTAAGCCCCTAAAACCTTAAACCCCTAAGCCCTCAACCCTAAGCCCCTAAACCCTGAAACCCCTAAACCCTAATCCTAAAGCCCTAAAGCCTTAAGCCCCTAGACCCTACACCCCGGAACCTATAGCCCAGGACTGGGTCGAGGGCCATCTCATCGATGATGAAGGCCAGCGCACGGGAACTATTCGTCTCCAACGAGGCGCCCGAAAAAGAAAGGGTTTAGGGGTTTAGGGTTTAGGGTTTAGGGGTTTAGGGGTTTAGGGTTTAGGGTTTAGGGTTGTGGTTTTGTAGACTGTTGTTTTCCTACAGTTGCTGAGTTACGAGCTATGAATATGAGCATACCGATTTTCTGCAACTTATGATTGCTAAGTATGATCATTTTCCATTTTCGAAAACACTGATTAAATGCTATTCTCATTTTTTATTCGTTATATTGTTGAATTCTTAATCCTACTCATCCTGAGGGTTTAGGGCTTAGGGATCCCCAATCCTACGAATTTTGAGGGTTTAGGGGTTTAGGGATTCTTAATCCTACGAGTTCTGAGGTGAAGGGAACGCTGTCCTCTCCTATTTCCGGGAGCTCGGGAGTTCCAACTGGTCGAACCCGAATGAGGCCATCGGCTGGTAACCCAAAAGTTCCATCCACGAAGGTTTGGGGGGTTTAGGGTTTAGGGCTTGTAAGGTTCTAGGATGGGGGGATCATGATGCTTTGCGGCATTGTGTATTCAAGTTTGGGCTATGGTTTGGGCTCTGGACACAAAATCGAAGCAGATTGCACGAAGCACAAAGGATCTTCCAAGGAGTCGGCTGGCTCCGTGCATGCTTTTTCTGATTTCAGATGCAGAGGCGTCTCATTTTCCAGCATTTGCCATTTGGGGGTTTCCGAAAATAGGGGGCCCTATTATAGTACCCCAAATAGTAGGATCTTTATTATAAGGACCCCAATATAAGGTACCCTAATTTTCGGAAACTCCCATTTAACATCCGACCCGGTTGCCGTTATAGCTAGTTGGATGCTGCTTTTGGTCAGAGCTGCTCAGAATCCTGTGCAAACCCGCTTGGCAGGGGCATCAAAATGATGCTTCTGGTGTTCCACATGCTGCCAGCAGTAGTTGCCTGACCAGGGCGAGTTAGAAAGAAGAGATCGCATCTCTGGTGTGAGCAGTGCATAGTGGCAAGGACTGGAAACCAGCTCCTGGGGATGTCAGTGGTGTTTTCACGTTCTTTGTCCTCGGAGCGACTTCAAAAGGCATAGGGGTTCGTCCAACAGAGGCACGACATGCATCAGTCTGTCTGACCACGGTGAGAGAAATTCGGTAGAAAGGATTGCAGCGATGTTGCAGCCAAGTTTCCGGTCTGAAATGCTCTTGAGGTCCCCCTTATATAAACGGCCTAACAGGAGATCGCGCTTGACCGTCGTCTCTGCAAAACAGCTCCCTTTTCGTCATTGCACAAACCGCAGAATTCCACAAAAAATAAGCCTTGCCCGATAGCATGCTTTTAGCCAAGATGCTATGTAGGAAAGTGGGGGCTTCTCGTTCCTGGTCTGCACCTTGCGGAAGGACCCGGATTGAAATACCTTCTGCAAGGCCGTTACGGCCAGAAGTTTCCACGGAATGCCCAACAAAGGTCAAGGCAGCTCCTCCAACTCTTCAGTGCCCACCACCTTTAGAGGAAATTGATGAAGGATCTTTAGGCCTCTGATGATGGACTTGGTGACCGACATCGCGCTGGCTCTGCATGCTGTGGCGTAGAGTCGTAGAGAGTCTACACATCAGCAAATCGCTGGCACCCCGCATATCAACGGAACAAGTGGCAATGCAAGTTCAAGCACGAGGTCATGTCCACCTAGTGCAACCGAGGTGTATATTGCGTGTGATAACCGTATCCACAACTACACATAGTGTATGTATCTCTATATATATATATATATCTGTCTGTATGTATAGGTGCTGTACATATGTATATGTGTGTGTGTGTGTATGTGTACATGCATGCATATCTATATATATACACCCTGCCAGCAACCGATAAGACTCGCTCAAGGTCTCAAAATTATGAGACCATTGCATCCCGACCCAACCCGAGCCCGGCAACAGATGAGCTTCCAGTCGTAGTGAGTCGTAGTGCAGTGCTTGCACCACACCACCACAGGCTGATGACAGGTAGAGCGCCGAAGTGCGCGATCAGCTACCATGTCGGGCATCCCACATTCCATGCAGTCGCATGCTGCCCACCATGGGCACACAGCAGCGCATCCCTCGGAGCTCTTCGGTGCAGAGCACGAGCGCGACGAGGAGCCAGAGGCCGGAGAAACTGGTCTTTTGGCTCTTGGGACGACTGTGTTGGCATCAGGGGAGCTGGAGTTCGATGAAGATCTCACAGCTGTGAAGCACGACGAGGCTCTCTATAGCGCCGTGAACACCATGAAGCGCCACAAGACCATCACGTATGACGACATAGTTATGTCCGAAGGAGTCCGACAAAGCGTTTACTTGGAGTACATAAAGTGGGAGATTGACACCGAGAATACATTTCTGGAGCTTCCCCTCACGGTCGTTGTGCTGGTCTCTTTTACCATCCTCGCTCTGTATATACTGCACCAGGAACAGCTCTATGCAATAGAGGAAGCTTTCGAACGAGATATCATCGAAAATGCAAACTTCGCTTGGAGTGGCTACTTTGGCCACAAAGGCATTGACCAGGCGGGAGTTGCTAAAAGCTCGAGTTCCAGGGACCTGTTACAGCAGGCTCATATCAATCAAACAGGCATAGCTTCCAACCGACTTCCGTTTGCTAGCAGCTCTAAACCCCTAAATCCTACACCCCAAAACCCCTAAACCCTAAACCCTACACCCAAACCCAGGACGGCTCCTCAAAAAGAAGCCCCAAGTTTTAGCAACGCTCAGGTAATGTCTGTCGCAGACTTCTGGTCTTGGATGCGTCTTGGTTTCCTCTCCTTGCTGGGCAGGTCGGACATGTGGTGGAAGTAGTACTCGTCGTCGTGGCAGCTGGCGTCGTGCTAGTGTTAGTAGTAGTAGTAGTAGTAGTAGTAGTAGTACTAGTACTAGTACTAGTACTAGTACTAGTAGTACATTGTGCCGGGAATTTAGAACAATCAATTTGGCAATCTTGGTCAGGCACGGGGGGAGCAAGATGGCCGTGCAATCTTGGCAATCTTGCTACTCTTGCCCCTGCCCCACTTGCTCGCCGTCTAATTTATTGTTGGAGACCAAGATTGCAAGATTGCTTGCAATCTTGCTCCCCCCTTCCTGCCCCACCTGCTCCTGCTCGCCGAGCAGCTTACCTTGTGGAAACCAAGATTGCAAGATTGCTTCACAATCTTGGTTGCAAGCTTGGTCTAAAAGGTGAACTAGTC